ATCCCAGGACCCTGGGATCATGACCTGAGCCGAAGGCAGACGTTTAACCATCTGAGCCATCCAGGTGCCCCAAGATTTTTTTTTTTAATTTATTTATTTGACGGAGAGATTGACAGCGAGAGAGGGAACACAAGCAGGAGGAGTGGGAGAGGGAGAAGCAGGCTTCCCGCTGAGCAGGGAGCCTGACGCAGGACCCGGTCACAGGACCCTGGGATCATGACCTAAGCCGAAGGCAGACGCTTAACCATCTGAGCCACCCAGGTGCCCTACAGGTTTGGTCTTAAGCCCAGACATTATTTAGGCTGAGCAGCTTCATAAGACCCCACCCATAGTGCCCCCACCCCCTTGAGGAAATCAGCTTTTACAAGCTTTTGGTGGATTCTAGTAGTAGTCAGTTGGCCCTTCCCAAACCATCACCGCCCTCCAGCAGATGCAGCACCTGCCATGTCTGAGGGCTCTCCTCACTAGGCAACCCCGACAACCAGCAAGTAAGAAGGGCAGCTGGAGGCAATCTCCCTTTGGCCAAATGGAACACCAGCCTCTATAGCAGCAGGTATGTGCAGGAGAATCCCACACAGAATTCTGTTCTGTATGTGGGAGCAGTCAGAAAGACCCCAACTGAACCTCTTAGCCTCTGGAATGAGCAGAGTCTTGATACCGATGCCTTATGCCTTCTTCCAGAGGCCTTTGCTATTCTGGAGGCTGAATCCTTCCCTGTTTTGTAAACGTCTGCTGAATACAATGCATTAGCATAACAAATGATATTAAAGTATTACTGATCATCAAAAGTACCAAAATGATGGAGCTTTTCCCCAAGGGGAGCCCTGAATGCGGCTTTGTGCAAATGACCTTGGCAACACCTGCAAAGCTTACACATACACTGCTTGCTCTATTGAAATGAACTCATACTCTGCTAAATCGTCCAACATTCTTATGGATAAATGCCCAGGAGTGAACTCATAAAGTTAAATAACTTTTTCAGGTCATTGATCTAGGGTCTAACCTTAATTTATCCTTTAGCAAATGTCATGTATTAGCTGGCCCACAAATGAAGTGTTTTTTGAAGCAAAGTATAAAGTAAAAACGTTAGAAGAATTATACGTTGAATCATATGGCATCATATCAAGATTAAATGTACATCATTTTAAGCATTGTTCGCAAAAAAACTTAGAAGCAACTCAAAAGTCTATCAATGAAGGTTTGGCTAAAGATACTATGATACACCCACATGCTAGAATACTATGCAGCTGTACAAAAGAGTGAGGGGGCAAGGACTGAACAGGTAAAGAAAAGTTTCCAAAACATGGTAAGCAAAAAAACAAAACAAAACAGTTCAAAAAAGTATGTCATGCTTTGGTAAAGAAGGGTAGAATATAAGAATGTATATTTGCAATTTGCTTGCAGGTGCACTAAACAACTCTGGAACCAAGTATATGTTAAGAGGGACATATATGGAGAGTACAAACTGGGTTAATGGAGGCGTGGGTTATGGTGGAGGGAGACATTTCACTGTATAAATTTTTATGCATTTTGGTTTTGACTCATGACAATGTATTACCTATTCAGAAAATTAAATTAAAAAAAAAATTCAATATGTTTAACAGCAAAACTTCAGTACTTCAGGTCCTATATATTGGGAATTTGTGATGAGTTGAACATGTGAAAGTCAGGGGTGATGCAATTATCTCTTCATTCCATGGGGAAGTGGGGATGTAGAGAATCTGGAAGGGAAACAAGGTTCTTTTTCCAAGTCTCCAGCTCTTGTAGAGGAGTGATGGGAACAGAAGAGGGGCGTGCCCAAATCCTCATTCCAGTTCTATCCAGGTCCCCTACAGGAATTTCAGTGCACATGCAAGTTTTTAACAAAAGCCTAAAACTATTGGAGGCTTATGCATTCAGCAAACATATATGTTAAGGACCTATTGTGGGGATAAAGACTTTAATAATAGTGAATTCGAATTCCAATCGCAATCCAGCAGTCAGTGGGCAGGTAGTAAAGTGGTGTGATGTAGGTAGGTAGGCACAACGTGATGGGGGCATGGAGGAGTGCCCACTCCAGCCCGGGAAGGTGTGTATGTGCGTGATGGATGCGGGTGGGGCTTGGGTGTAGATGCCCCGGCAAGACAGAGGTGAAAGACTACCAGGAGTTAAATGAGGAGGAAGATGGGAGGCGATCCAGAGAGAAGGCTTGTGATGTGCAGGGTCAGAGTCATGTTTCTCCCATCTTGTAGGGTGGGGAAGGAGGTTGGGGGAGGAAATGGTGATGATAATGCTGGAGAGGAGAGAGAGAGAGACCAGATTATGAAAGCCCTTGAATGTCAGGCTAAGGATTCAAATTTTGACCTTAAGGTTAAGGAGACTTCCTTTTTAGGTTTGGGTTTGTGGCCTGAGGTGAATCTGGAGATGCCAGGAAGTTCAAAGTACCACTGAAGAGAGAGATGTAGTAATTTGCATGGGAATTATTGCTTGGGATTGTTATTGATTGCCCTAAAATATAAAACTGCTTACTCGTTTCAGGCAATATGTACAATATTTGTTACTATTAGTTTTGAGAGTGAAGGCGAAGCAAGATTGTCTCGATCAGAGTATTAACAGCAAACAGATGGCCCACTCAAAGTGGGATGATCCTAAGAGGGTTTATTTACAGACGGACAATGCCAAGGTGTGGGCCTGGAGTCATTGCAAAAAATGCTGGAGTAACGTGGGTCTCATAGCAGTCTGGCTGACAACACGTGCCTAAGTCTGTGATAGACTGAATGTCTGTATCCCACCCCCCAAATTTGGGTATTGAAACTCTAACCCCTAATGTGATGGTATTAGGACGTGGGAGGTAATTGGGTTTAGATAAGGTCACGCAGGGTTTGCCATGATGAGATCAGTACGCTTACGAGAAGGAACCAAAGAACATTCTCTCCCTCATTCTCTCTCTCTCTCCCTCTCTCTTTTTCTCTCTCCCTCTCTCTGAGGACACAGCAGGAAGGCAGCCATCTGCAAGCCAGGAGGAGGGCTGTCACCGGAACCTGACCATGCTGGCACCCCAATCTCGGACTTCCTAGCCTCTAGCACCGTGAGAAAGAGACTTCTGCTGTGTAAGCACCCAGTGTGTGGTATTTTGTTATGGCAGCCAAGCTGAGACAAAGCCACACGGACAAGGGCAGGGAACCGCTATTTGAATCCGGAAGGAGTGAGACCCTCCTGTAAACCGGCCAGATTGAGAGGAGCCGTGGACTCTCATTAGGACCTCACAGGGAGTGAGCCAGCGCAAGAAATGCCCTGACCTCCCCCTCCTCCCTCCCTCTCATCACCACACACTCAGAGGCCTGAGAGGCCCACAGTGTAGGTCAGCCTTCAGGGGCTAAAAGCAGGATACAGAAGGATAGAGCCTGAGTCTAAAGGGGCAAATGACAGAGGCCCAGCACAAACATTATAATTAGATTTCCCTCCACTTGTCCTTTTTTGGTGTGTCTCCTCCCTCCCCAAAAAAGTAAAAGAGAAGAATTTTGCTATGAGTTAAAAAAGGCTAATTGCTCTAAAAACATATAAGGGCTCAAATACCTTACCGCTTATTTCTTGTTCACAGAACAGTGCTAGGTCATCCCCACCGGTCAGTGGGGTGCACTGGAGCTGACAGAGGCTCAGCTGTCTTTAACTGGTGGCTTCCAAGCTTGCCCTGGTGGTCATCTGCGTTCCAGCCAGCTGCAAGGGGCAAAGGGCAAGATGGGTCAAGCATGCGAGGTTTTGATGGCCCAGGCTCAGTCACATGGCTGCTCCTATCCACAAGGAAGGCTGGGACAGGTGGACAGCCATGTGCCCGAGAAGAGGAGAGCTAAGAAGAGAGAGGTAAGAAGCAGCTCGCACCTCTGCCATAGTACAGAAATAATGTCCTTTAGCAAAAATTGGTTTGTACTAATAGGCTAACCTCTTGATAGAACCATACTACTGTAAATAGATTTATGAACTATATGTCCAGCTCTTAACAGTGACATTTTGCAAAGGGTAGCGCAGTGCATGAACTAAATCACTGAAGACCTGAATTAGCCAAGAATGTTAAAATCCTTTTTTAAAAAGGATTTTACTTATTTATTTGATAGAGAGAGAGAGCACAAGCAGGGGGCAGTGGCAGAGGGAGAGGGAGAAGCAAACTCCCTGTTGAGCAGGGAGCCCAATGTGGGGCTTGATCCCAGGGCCCTGAGATCATGACTCCAGTTGAAAGCAGATGCTTAACTGACTGAGCCACCCAGGCTCCCCAAGAATGTCACGTTTTAATTTCAGAATTTATACCTCCTTTGTTTTACTTTCCGCACAGGAAAACCTCTCTGCTTCCAAATTATACCTCTTTTTTTTTTTTTTTTAAAGATTTTATTTATTTTTTGACAGAGAGAGAGACAGCGAGAGAGGGAACACAGGCAGGGGGAGTGGGAGAGGGAGAAGCAGGCATTCTGCTGAGCAGGGAGCCCGATGCGGGGCTCGATCCCAGGACCCCGGGATCACGACCTGAGCAGAAGGCAGACGCTTAACGACTGAGCCACCCAGGTGCCCCAATTATACCTCTTTTTTGATGGGGTCATCCTCCTTCAACATGGGTAAATGAGCCCAATCAGGTTTTTGAAAGTTGCTAAGAGCACATCAGGTATGTACACTGCCAAGAATCACAGAACTTGATCATGTAAGAGGGAAGAACAATTCTGTTTAGATGGCCTGGTATTATAGTCATGCTATTGTAATATAGTCCATCATGGATCCCTTAACAAAATTGATCATCTATAGGACTTTTTTTTTAAATTTTATTATGTTATGTTAGTCACCATTCATTATATCATTAGTTTTAGATGTAGTGTTCCATGATTCATTGTTTGTGCATAACACCCAGTACTCCATGCAGAATGTGCCCTCCTCAATACCCATCACCAGGCTAACCCATCCTCCTCCCCCCTCCCCTCTAGAACCCTCAGTTTGTTTCTCAGAGTCCATAGTCTCTCGTGGTTTGTCTCTCCCTCCAATTCCCCCCCTTCATTTTTCCCTTCCTACTATCTTCTTCTTCTTCTTTTTTTAAGATATAATGTATTATTTGTTTCAGAGGTACAGGTCTGTGATTCAACAGTCTTACACAATTTACAGTGCTCACC